GAAAGAGAAGGAAAGAAAAGAGAGGGAGAGGAGGAGAGAAAGAGGGTTTAGAATTAGAAAGGGTAGAAAGGAAAGAAGAACGGCTGAACAAGAGAAAAAGGACGAGGAAACAGAGAAAAGGAGGCGCAAGAAGGAATAAAAGAAGAAAGAGAAAGAAGGAGGGAGAAGGAAAGAGAGAAAGAATATATATCGTAAGGCAAGAAAAGGAATAAAGGAGGTTGAAAAGAAATAAAAAAAATGAAATCCTGTGCCATAGAAATTCCACTGGGTTTAAGACATATTATAGCGTAGGATTTTAACGAGAAAAAGGAGAAAAAAAAGGAATAGGGAAATGAGAAAACGAAAAAGGATCCATAGGATACAGGAAAAAAAAATACATATGACAAAATCCATAATTGTACGAAAAAAATAGAACATTAATTAAGCTATAGAGGTGTCTTATTAAGGTGAAAGATCGTAGTAGGAAATCATATAAGCTAGAATAGATTTAATGCCAATAGATGCGTTTTATTTTGATATATGTGTTTAAGTCTAAGGTGTCACATGTTCTTGTTTACTTAATCGTTATTGTGTTACTGTATTTTGAATTTTACACTAACATTTTTTTAACCTGTTTTATATATTCTTTTTAGGCAATTCCATCACAATGGGATATGTTCAAGTTTCGTCTACAGTGCCTCAGTATCGTATTTAGGCGAACTGAATGTCACACTGTAAACAAATATGTGTAGAATAGATATGTTTCGGTACGATATATCAACGAAAACAAATGTGCGTTAATGTGTTCTCCGTATTTTTTGGGTCATTTTTTTTGGGGGGGGACAATGAGGAAAATGAGGGGAAAAAAATGTACGAAGGAAGGAGGAGGACAAGGAGCTTCACTGGGACTGATTCGGTTTGAGATTTTTTTTTTTTCTGTAGACTTTTCGAGTGGGGTGGGGTGGGTGGGTGTGGGTATGGGCGGGGGAAGAAGGGGAGGGTGTTGATTAAGAGGGAGGAGACTAAGTTCTGGTTTCGAGTCCCTGTATTCTTCGAAAAATAATTTTGAGTCTTGTTTATTTTTTATCTTTTGGTCGTCCTTTGTCTCGGACAGAGAGGGAGGGGGAGGGGGTCAGGATGCACTGCCGATCACCGGAAACACAGATTAGTTGGTCACTTGGGCGCGCTGCTCCTGCGCCGAGCGGGGCCGCGGCCTGCGGGCGCTGCACACACCGAGTGCAAACGACAGGTATCACGTGTCCTTTGATGCATGGTATAACGGCCGTCGAGGGGCGCCTAGGGACAGACGGGGCATCAGCACTCCCCGCCGGGGCTTCTGTCGCCCGTCAGGTCCTCGGGCTGGCAGCTGGCGCCCGGCCCGCCCTCCAGCTGCTCCTCCCTGGCGCCCACGGCCGAGAGGGCGGCCAGCTGGATCGGAGGGCTGAGAGAGCCGAGCGGGCTCAGCTGGTCCAGGCAGCTGGCCAGGTGGTCCTCTCTGCTGGAGGCGTCGGGCGCGCCGAAGGCGTGGCGGAGGGCCTCGCCGCCGGGGGAGTCCTCGGGCAAGCTGCACGCGGGGGGGTGCAGGTCCTGCACCTCCCGCTTGGCGGCCTGGAGGTGCAGGGGGTGCGCGGCGCCGTCCTGGGGCGTGGGCGGGGGCGTGGGCGCCCCGCGGAGCAGCGTGCCCGGCGAGGGCGGGCCGCGGTCCTCGGGTCGCGACGGCGCCAGGATGCTCTCGATGGAGAAGGCGGCTCTCTTCACGGAGGTCTCGCGCGGCTGCTGCGCCCGCGGCTCGCGGCCGCCCGCCTCGCCCTCCGCACCCGCGTCGGACTCAGGCTTGTGCTGCGTCTCGTACTCGCGGCGCAGCTGCTCGAGGCTGACGTGCACGCCCTTGAGCGCCAGCTTGCGCTGCTGCCGCTCCAGCTGCTTGAGCAGCTTCTTCTCGCGGCGGAGGCGCTCGCGGCGTTCCAGCTCCTCGGGCGGGATGGGCTCGCCCGAGCACGTCTGCGGGTGGGCGTTGTGGGCGGGGCGGCCCGGGCCCTTCCGCGTGTGCTCCTTCTTGCGCCACTTCGCGCGCCGGTTCTGGAACCACACCTGCCGAAGGACAGGCCAAATGAACGTCTATCAAGCTCCATGAAGATAATGCACAGACATACCAGTACAATAATACTCAAAATTAATCAAGAGTAACAAACATGACTAACTAAGCAAGAATATCAGCGCAAAATAAACCACCTGCAATCCCACTTATCATCCCCCAAATAACAATAAATACATAAATACATAAATAAATGAAAAGAAAATAACTAGCCTATTCAGCAGCATTTCCTTTCTTCGCGTCAACAGAAATGTCTCTTGAATTCTAAGTAGGCCTATGATCTCGGCTCACGGCCCACAAAAAGGCCCCAGGGGAAGATGGAGGGGGGGGGAGGGGGCGGCCGTGAGGAGATGGATAACACACCCTCACATTATTATTATTTTTTTTTAAGATGAACATTTTATTTATATTCTTAGTAGTTTTTAA